CTCCTTTCATGACACCAAAAAGTACAGAGGCAGCCAAATAGTGACAGAATCTCCCTGTGTCCTGAGGATTCTCAGTGTAGGACACAGTTATGGCATTAGTCAGCAAGATTTGCTGAGTTTAAACAAATCAGGGGCATTGAATGATTTGGAATTGCTTCTAATTGTCTCTCTTGTGGGAGAACAGGCAAAAATAAGTCTTACCCTGGGGACATCCATAGTAAAGAGTTTCACTTAGTTCATAACATCAGAGCGGGAGTGATTGTCACTGTCACAATTTCTGGAGGCCAAAGGAGCTCATTATCCTATTCATGGAGGACAAATCCATGAGTAAATCTGTAACTCCTGGCTCAGTCTGCTCTTTGCTGACAACAAGGTACACCAGGGAAAGGCTGGTTCTAAGCATGTCCAGTTTCTTATATTCCTGTGTCTCTTCCTGCAGACTGAGGGGCAGTTCTCACGTTCTTCCTCTGTTTCTGTCCCACAGCTCACTCTTCACAATCACCTGGATGAAGATGCACAGCCCACTAAAAGTAAGGCTTTACCTGGGAGAACACTTGCCAGAATTCTGGAGAGAATGGTCCAGTGTTTCAAAGGGAAATGAAAAGACACTCCTGGGTTTTATTTTTGGCTGGTCACAGAACAGAACAAACATCCTTCCACTTCAGCTGGACCATGTGGCTTTCTCCAGGGATTCTTCCCTCCCCTCTTCCCTTTTATGTAGCAGGTTGTTTTCCCAAAAGCAGAACCAGGTGGTGAGTGCTGTCACTGGTTCTGTTTCTGTGGCGTCCCCACTGGAAATGATTCAGCAGTGTGGAAAGGAATTAATAGGCTCTTCTTAGAACTTGAAAATCTCTTTTGAAACAGGTTGAGAAAGGGAGAAAACTGGCACAGTAGAAGAAATTTTCTGGTTTGATCTCCTGGAAGATCTAAATCATCTGTTCATTCATTGAGAGGAGAGATTTTTCACAAAAGCTGAACAACACTGATCCAAAAAGATTTTTTTATTATTCTGCCTCGCTCAGTTCAAACATATATATCCTGACACCTGGTCACTACATAAGGAGTTTCACCAAAATATGGTCTGATGTGAAGTGCCTTGATATGCACAACTTGGGGAACAGGGATAAATTACTGTTAAAACAATAATTAACATGTTTCTCATGGTGACCTCTAACATGAGTATTATTTTTTTAATGATGCTGAGCAGAGATGCTGCTTAGTAAAGGTTTGTTTTGCTCCTGCATAAGCAGAAACTGGGGAAGTCCACCATCTGAGAAAGACTCAGGGCTCAAGTAAAATGAGAAGTGACTGCACTGATCACAGGACCAAGTCCTGGCATTTTGGGCCTGGTTTCGGTTCTGCTGAGGACTCTGTGCAGTTACATCACAACTGTTCTGTTTGAAGAACTGGTGGAGGGAGAAGTTACTTCACAATGGCAACTCTGACTAAAGGTGTGATTTTTCCATCTCTCAGAAGATTGCCCTGATGGACCAAACCAGCAGCTCAGCCCTGGAGAAGACAATCTGCCCCCAAAGTCACTCAGTGTAAGAGAATCTTCGTGGGTTCTTCTGGGGTTTGTGATCTTTAATGTTCTCATTAATGATGGATTTACCAGGTTTGAGAAGCATGTCAGCTTTTCCAAAATCTGAGTACTTAGTGTACAATTCACCCTCCAAAAAGGGTGAGCTCTGAACAGCAGAACATTTGTGGTTATTTCTCCATTTGTGCATAGAAACTTCTCCTGATTACTTTCTATCCTTCATTTCTGGGTGTGGACATTTTCCAGTTTAATTGATTGCAGCATTACTGTTTGTACAGGAAACAGAATGTGAGGGAGTAAATATGCTGAAACTCTGTGAAGCAGAGGTATTCCCATCCTGCACACACACTAATAGGGACAGCCCAGAAATGAACCTACTGTACTTCATTCTGCAGGCAGCTGCGTGGTGCTAACACTGATCTGATGTTTGGAGGAATCCACCTAATTTTTTTTTTTTTTTTTTAATTCAAGGAGTGTGCCTTGGCCAATGAGGAACTGGCAGAAAAGGAGAGGAAGAGGATGAAGGACTGCTTTGAGCGCTACCGAAGGTCTGAGCTGCAGTAAGCAGGACTAACCTAGACATACCTGTGTGGCCTAACTTAATATCTTGTGTTTCCTCTTTTCTGTCCATCCCCTGCCCCCAAGCTCGATTCACAGAGGGCATAAAATTAAACACAAAATGGACTTATACATACTAAACCTCCCCAAAGCGTTGAAATGCTGCTTGTCTGCAGAAAACACCTTCTAAAAATGATATGACCGGTCTTGTTTTTCAGAAAAAGAGCCATGAGGAGGGTCCCAAAGGACCGGCACCACGAGGCCGACTGGGAGAACACCACGGGCAGTGACAACACCGACACTGAGGGCTCCTGAGGGAGAGACAATCGGGACACCATGAGCTCCTGAGAGAGGGACAGCGGGGACACCATCAGCTCCTGAGAGAGGAAAACAGGGACACTGAGGGTTCCTGAGGGAGGGACAACGGGGACACTGAGGGCTCTGGAACGAGGGACAACAGGGACACCGAGGTCTCCTGAGAGACAAAAATGGGGACACCATCAGCTCCTGAGAGAGGGACAAGAAGGGACAGTGAGAGCTCTGGAATGAGAGACAACGGGGACACCGAGGGCTCTGGAATGAGGGACAATGGGGACACCATCAGCTCCTGAAGGAGGGACAACAATGCCATTGAGGTCTCCTGAGTGCAGGAACCAACCTGTGAGGAAAACCCAGCCTGTGCTGGGGTGGCTGTGCCTCTGACTTTCACTCTCCATGGACTATTTAGATTTTAAGACCATCCAACCCAACATTCACGAAAAGTTAACGCGCGAAAGGCTAATGCGTGCCAAAGGTTGGACTTCGTGATCTCAGAGGTCTTTTCCAACCTCGTTGATTCTGTGTTTGCCTCTGACACCTCCTCGTCCATCTCTCTTATAGGTTAATAAACACGATTAAATATCTGCTTGTGCGACAGTGCCGGGGGCTGAGCTGCCGGTTAATTAAAGGGTTAATTAAAGAGTTAGTTGAAGGCGGGTCCCTGGCGCTGCCCGAATCCAACATGGCCGCCGGCGCTTCAGCCCCCGCCCCCCGGCGCGCATGCGCGGTGTCATGCGGCGCGTGGCGGGGGCCGTGCTGAGGGCGCTGCCCCTGGAGGCGCCGCCATGGCGGCCTCGCCGCCCCCCGCCCGGCCCCGGGGCCGCACCACCGCCGCACCGCTGGCTCTGCACCGCCCCGGGGCCGCCCTGGGGTCCGGCCCGCCCGCTCTGTACCGTCCCGGGGCCGCGCCGGGTCCCGTCTCGCCCGGCCTGCACCGCCCCGGGGCCGCCGCCGGCCACGCGCTATCGCCTGGTGTACACCTGCAAGGTGGGCGAGGGGGGGCTGTGAGGGACAGAGCCGGGAGGGGCTCCCGGTGTAGCTGCTCGCTTGTGGTTCTAAACCTGCAGTCAAAGACTAACTCAGGCTGGAAGAGCCCTCTGGAGGTTTCCAGTCCCACCCCGTTGTGCGAGGAGGATGTTCGGGGTCTTGTGAGTATCGCTGAGGATCCCCCTCCTCAGGGAGGCACAGAGAGCAGTGAAACCCCGCTCGGCCTTTGTGTTGGGCTGAGCTCACGGCATCGAGCCGCTTGGGGTAGTTCGAGGTGACAGAGGGGGGAGAGAAAGTTTTAATCGCATAGAGGGGGTTTGTCTTAAAGGCCCAGGAGCTTCAGGTCCCGCGCTGACAAAAATCCGCTTTGTTTCCCAGGTGTGCCAGACGCGCTCGTCCAAATCCATCTCGAAGGCCGCCTATCACCGCGGGGTGGTGATCGTGACCTGTCCCGGCTGCGGGAACCACCACGTCATCGCCGACAACCTGGGCTGGTTCTCCGACCTGCAGGGAAAGAGGTGGGTGTGCCGAGGGATCCTGCTCAGCCCTGCTCAGGGGTGCAGCCGGACCCTCCTTGAGCTCCTGCGTTATTTCTGTGATGCTTTTAAAATGTGGCTCGGGCAAAAAGACACAAAAAAAAGAATTTTTGCAGCGTGTAATCCTGTTGCATCCAGTTCCTTAAAGCACACAGACTCGGTTTTAAATCACATGTAATTTGATTGGTACTGTCTAGGATCCAAATAAACGGTGTGAAGCTGCAGCAGAAGCTGTGGGGTGCACAGGGATCCTTGTTGGTGGCAGCAGGTGAATTGCTGCCTGTGGGGTTCTGTTCCCCTCAGGCTTTACCACATCACTGCTGGGTTTCCCTGGATAAGTGTCTCAAGCGTGTAGACTCAGCTGCTGTGGAATTCCAGTGATTTCTAACTTCCTGAGATACCTTTAAAAGCTTCTGTTTAGCTGTAATTGCTAAATTATTGATCACAGTGGATAAAAATAGTCCCAGAAGGTTTAGGCGGTTTTCTCTGCTTCCCAAACTCTTTATGGAGCAATCCCATGGTGATGCCCTCGTGATTCACTGTGTGGTGTCAATCCTGAGGGCAGAGTGGAGGAGGGAACTTGTGCTTGGCTGTGCTGGGCCTTTGCTGTGGTGTCACTGTTGGCTCTCAAATCGCTGTCCAGGAACATCGAGGAGATCCTGGCAGCCAAAGGGGAGAAGGTGAGACGTGTGGCTGGTGAGGAAGCTCTGGAATTGCTGCTGGAAAGCTCAGCAGAGCCCGAGCCCCAAGGTCAGCTGGCACAGGGGGACAGCAAGGAAGCCCCCCCAGAGCCTGGCAGCAAGGGACAGACCTGACACGTGGGGCTGTGACCTGTGGGACAGACCTGACACGTGGGATTTGGGTTGCTCTGCTGGTGCTAAGAGACTCTTCACCTTCATTCCCTGATTTCCACAGTCTGTATTTAAAATAAACTTGGGTGTGGGTTTTTCTCTGTCGTGTGTCTTTGTCTTGTGTAACTTTGCCTTTGATCAAGCTGATGGTTTTAGAGATGGTGTAGGTATTTTTCCTGGTACTTGTTTTGCTGACTTTGAGGCTGTTTTCAGTGCTTCAGCAGTGCCCAGAGCCCAGCTTTGTTCCCTGCTCAGAAGGCAGCCAGAAATTCTTTGTCTGTGTGATTTTGGCCTGGCAAGGTGCAGCTGGAGGTTTCCGGGATGTCCCCTGCCCTTCCCAGGCATTGTGGAGCTGGTGGAGGTGCATCCCATGGCAGAGGGAGCAATTGATACCACCTGAGGAGGTGAGTCCCAAATTCCAGAGCCAAAATGATCCCACAGGAGGGTCAGATCACCAGCTCTCGCTGCTTTTATCTGTCCTTTGCCATCTTCTGGAGTTTTGTTGCTGTGCCCCTGGTGTCAGGGCTGAAAGTTCTGTATTTTGGGGTTACAGCATCAGCCCCCACACTCAGGGATCCCACTTGGGCATTAGGGGTTTGCAGCTCCTTGTTGGGGAGGGGGAGGATGGGTGTGAAGGCAAAACTGATAGTTGTGGAGCACGTTGGAGAGAAGTAGAGCACCTAGAAATTTGCCTTAGAGTTCACTGGGAGATACTGAGGGGCTTTTTAGTGCTACTGATGCATATTAAGATTAGTAAAAAGAAAAAAATGTAATAAATGAGAAATGTAGCTGTTTGCACTCAGGTAGTGGTGGATCAGGCAGTGAGATGATCATGTTGGACTTTGTTAGGGTTTGTTTCCTCTGTACAGTGAAGTAGCTGCTTTTTTATGATTTTGAACTTGCAATCAAAGACTAATTTAGGGTGAAAGAGCTCTCTGGAGGTTTCTAGTCCAACCCCCTTGCTAAAGGAGGATGTTCAGGGTCTCTGAGGGTGGAGATCCCTCAATCTCTTTGGATCCCCCCTCGTTAGAGAGGCACAGAAGGCAGTAAAACCCCTCTTGGCCTTTGTGTCTGGGGCTGAGCAAACCCCTTTCTCTCAGCCAGTCTTGTCCAGCTGCTCATGGTCCTTAACCAGCCAAGGATTCAGTGAGGGCATTATGTGCATTAATGAGTTTACTTCATCAGAAGTGTTCATAGCAATTTTATACGTGTTGCATTGTAAGTATTGGGTCAGAGCAACAGGAAAATTGTCGTGTTGCTGTTGGTGTGTCAGTTCAGAGTGATGAAACAGGGGCAGGACCTTCACCAACCAGCTCATGTGTGCTCAGACCCTGGTGAAATACAGCTCTCCCTGAAACAACAGCTGCTGGAGAGATCCAGTATTGAGAAACAGGAGTCTTGCATCTCCCAGCACTGCTGTGTGCTCACCCTGTGCTGAGCTGTTGGCACCTATTAGCACTGCAAGAAAAGTGCTTATTTTATTACCTTTAATCTGAAAATCAGCATTCTGCTTCCATGGTGCTGATGCCTTTGATGGGGTGGAACAGAGCAGCTGTTGCAGGATCCGTGTTGCCTTGGAAACAACTCATTTACAACCTGGCTTTTTTTGGCTGTTTTCCTTACCTTTCTTACCTGTTACTGTGCTCCAGCTACAGGAAGGTGGTGCTAGTTTTTGCTGTGTTATAGTAAAAAATGTAGCAAAACCTGTGTTGGCCATTCCTGTATTTTAATCTTTCCCTATCCCAGTGTCCTCTGGCACCTTGTGCCTCTGCAGCCCCCAGCTCTGAGCAGGGAGGGCAGCAGTTCTTGCTGCTGCTCTGAAGGTTCAGGCCAACATCACATGAGGGAATTTGCATGTAACACAAAAAATATTTGCTGCTAAGAGATTCCAGGTAAAAAAAGGAATTCTGTGCTCCCTTTTGAAGTGGGTTTTTCTGAAAAATGTTGTGTCCTGGGGCAGTGGGTTTGCTCTGGAAGAGGGACACGGGTGTGTCTGAGGGGAGCCCAGCAGGGGTTGGTTTAGCCAGAAATGAGGAGTGGGGAGAAGCAGCTTTTCTCCTGAACTTGTAGGTGTGTCAGGATGGGGAAAAAGTGCTGTGAAAGCCCAGTGGAACAGGAGACAGACTGAAGGAGCAGAGGAGAGAGACTGGAGGCACAGCTGACCAGGGTAAGTCTTTGGGACACAGAGGGGAGGGGGTGATTTCCAGGGTGGCAAAGCAGAAGTCCCAGGGCAGCAAACAAAGCTGTTTGCACATTATTTGACACATTCCACTTTGGTAAAGGGATGGATCCTGTTCCTGAATCCTGTCCCACAAGGGCTTTTCTGCAACAGGGCAAACACTGCCTCATTTTCTGCCTCTAGTGCTGCCAGTGTTTACCCAGCAGAACAGGACTGTGCTGGGCAGTGTCTGTCAAATGGGGGGCACTGGGTTCTGGGACCAGGGGTGGTAAAGGGGGCTGAGATGGGGTCCTATGGGGCTGGGAGTGAGTGGCTGAGAGCCTTTCCAGCTGAGGAATATCAGTGAGGGCTGGAGCAGCAGCACAGCAAGGCTCTGGGGAGGGCTGAGGGAAATGTGGGGCCTCAGCCCTGAAGTGACTTGGTAGTAAAAAAAAAATAAAATCTCCCCAGGCCTGATATCAGCCCTGCCCTGAAAGTGCCTCGGCTGGGTAGGAGAGGGCAGGATCTCACGTTCTGCTGGGTTTTGAGAGTTCTTCATGAAGAGGATCTGCCCAGCACCAGGGACAGCCTCTGTTCCGAGTAACTTGCTCCACAGCTGCAGCAGCAGCAGCACTGCACGGCCCCGGCAATCCCGCGGCTCTCCGGCGGGTGTCAGCATCGGAGAGCTCTTCCCGGCTTGGGATCGAGCTCTGGGGGTGTGGGAGAGGGAAGGGTTCAGCAGAGCAGCCACCACTGCGGGCTCTGGGCTGCCCTGGAGACTCAGTTGTAGCCTCCAGACAAGTCAGCGTGTGCTGCCTTCCCCAGCGCTGAGGATGGAGAGACAGGAGGTGAGACCCCATCACTCATCCACAGGGATGGCATCTGCTCCTGGGAATCTGAGCCTGCACACACAGACTTCTGGCACAGAACTACTGCATGGAGGCACCCAGAGGTCTGAGGATGGCTCTTCCTGGCTCTTTGCTCAGGACTGGCAGTGGCCAGCACAACTTAGCCAGGCGTGGGAAGACCAGCTGGGACTTGGCTTTATCCTCACATTCAAACTCTGCTGCTCCCAAAGTGCTTTCTAGCATAGTCCAAGAGCCTGCTCATGCCTGCTGTTGTGTGAGTGTCCTCTCTGAGGGCTGGTGCCAGGGCTGTGCAGTGCCCTCGCTGCCCTGGTGCCCTGGCAGTGCTGGGGGACAGCACAGCTCTGGGCCAGGCGCCGGGGAGGCACCGAGATGGGCAGGGCCTGAAAGGAACGGCCTGGCCTTTCCTCGGCCTTTTCCAGGGGTCTTTTCTCCCCATGCAGGGCTGCTCTGCCTGCCCTGTCGTCCTGGAAACTTCTGGGCAGGGAATTCTCAGGGCTTTGTATCTCCCTCCACAGCCACATCCATGCTGGTAGGCAGGCAGAGCTGGGACAGGGGCTGCTTCCAAGAGATCTGTGTGCTCTCAGTGTAAAGGGTGTGTAGGTGGGTGCAGACACCCTTTTGTTAACATGTGGGGTGTCTGTCACCAGAGACCCCCCACCCACACCCACCTCCATTCCAAAGGGCCACGATTAAGCCCTGCTGTCAGCCAAGAAATAATGGAAATGAGTATTTGCACTGAAGCTTAGACACAAATATTTATTAAGCACAACCCCCCCACATCCCTTCCCCTTGAGCTGTATTCATTTCTAATATATTAATCCATTTGGCAGATTATTTTTTAGAAAAAAAACAAGTACCTGTGGGTTGGAAATTTCCCATTAAAATGACATTAGCAAATGCACATGTAAAAAATAAATAAGCTCATACATTCAAGTATATGGCAAATAATACCTCAATAATACCTCTGAAAGCTTAATGGTCAGATTCCAGTTCACCACCTGGCTGAGAGCTGCACAGGCCCGAGCCTGCAGCTGGTCAGGTCATCATCATCATCAATGTTTTCCTCTTTTACAAAGGCCAGCTTGGCTGGTACAAAGGTGGCTGGGCAGCTCCTCCTCTCCCTTCTCCAGAGCTCTTCCCAGCCCCAGGAAGGAGGCCCAGCCTTGGCCAAGTGGTCTGTGCAGCAGGTGAGTGCTCCCAGGTAGCAGGTAAAATGCAGCTACCACTCCACATGGTCAGTGCAGGCAGGGAAAATGCCCCATGAGCAGCATCACTGGTCTAAAAACATCTCGCTGCTGGTTGGGAATGCTTCCAACAAACGCATTTCAAACAGGAAGTGTTGATTTTATTCTCTACAGGAACGTCGCTGCTTCGGCACAACTCGGTGCTGCAGTTTCTGAAGTCCAAGATAGTCTCTGGTCGAGCGAAGGGAAAATACTGCACCTCCTGAAGTCAGGTCCCTGCTCCCCTCCTGCAGCTTTTCCAACTGGTCCAAAAGGGGAAGGAATGACAGTAAATGTGGCTGGGGCTCCCCTGAGGCTCCAGGTATTGGAGGTGCCTTGCCTGGAGCAGCTCTGCCAGGGCCAGGAGCAGCTCAGCACTGGTTGGGGGAGAAACATGGAGGCTGAAGGGCCATTATCCCGAGCTGCTGTTGGACACAGAAGGGAGGAAGGACAAGCTGTGGGCAGAAAGCTTTGCTGGCTGTGGAAGCGGGTCCTTGTCACAGGCAGGTTCTGCCTCAGGCACCCTCACCTGCCTGAGAACCTCGGCTCAGTGGCACCAGAGCTGCCCCCATTTGCCATGGGCTGAACACATGAGCAGAGACCTTCCCCTTCCCAGGCACAGCCCCTGCCCTGGGCCTGCACAGCTGGCCGAGCTCCAGGGGTAACAAGTCCCACTAAAGCTCAGGGTGAGCGAGGTTTGCTCCTGCCCAAGAGGTCCCAGGACAGCTCTGCCCAGGGCTGGGGAAGCAGGGAGGTGTCCAGGGCTCTGCAGAGTCCTCAGCAAACCTAAAATACACTCAGGTGTGTGGGACGACGATGCAGCTGGGGTGGGGTAAGATTTAAAGAACTGGTAGGGCCTCAGACTTGGGCTTATTTTCTCCTGTAGAAGGAACAAAGCTGAGCAAGATGTTCCAGGGAAGGATCCAGAGTCATTTGTGTCACCTCGTGATGTAGGCAGTACAGGAGGCCTTCAAAATGGAAAAGGTGCTCTTCCCTTCCCCCATTTAATTAAAAGTGTTGTGGAAATAAAAGACATCAAGGCTGGAGTTAACTACCCCCTCTGGGCTCCTACAAGTTCCTGGGTTTTTAGGTGATCAGCAAAGGGGCTGCCAAAGCCTTCCCTCATGCCCAGTGTTACAGGGGCCGTGTGTCCTAAAAAAACCCCTTGTTTGAAAATTGTGCCCCATATCCATGGGGCCTTCTTGTAGCAACAGGACGGAGGTGCAGCTCCCACATCCCTGGGGTGGCTCCTGGGACAAGTCTGTGGTAGCACAGGAGCCCTCGGGTTTGAAACCACTCACATTTTTTTTCTTTAAAAAAAAGCCCCAAAACCAAATAAAACCAAAACAACCCCCCCAGACCAAAGCCCAGTTCTTAGCTGGAACCAGGCCTGTGCTGCTCCTCCTCGGCCTCCTCCTGGGCCGAGGCCAAATCCACCCGCTGCTCGTCCATGCGCTTGGCCTGGACACGCTGGATGAGGCTGAAAAAGTCTTCGTCCGGCATGGTGGGACCCCGGGGGATGGAGTCAGGGGGGGCACAGCGCTGGTCATCGATCCTGGAGGACTGCACGGGAGGAGAGGGGCGTTAGGGTGGGGCAGGATGACAGGGAAGGGCTGGAGCAGAGGGTCCAAGCTCCCGTCCCCCCCCCAGCACAGGTACCTGACACTTCATGAGCATGTTGAAGAACTCGTCCCCGGGCTCCTGGGCGTCCCCCTCCACACGCAGGTGCCCCAGGTTGTTGTGGGTTATCCGCAGCCCCGGCAGGTTGCCCACGTTGGCACGTTGGTCATCCAGGCGCCTGCTCTGGGAGCTGGCGATGAGGTCGAAGAACTCCTCTGTCTGCGGAGACGCCATCAGGGCAGACTGTGCTGTGGGGACAGGGCAGGGTCACCCCTCTGCCTGCAGAGCCCAAATCCTCCTCACCAAACCACTGTCCAACCCACCTCCCACACAGGCACAGACCCAGAGGCAGCACCAGGGGGAAGGAGGTGCCGTGACAGGGTGAAAAGCAGAACCTCACACCCACCTCCCACTGCTGGACCCCCCGAGGGGCTCCCTGGCACTGACCGTGCTTGGTCAGCTCCTGGAGGCCACCAAAGGTGCCACCTCAGCCCAGGAGACTCAGTGCCCCCACCTTAACCACAGCCTGGGTGTGATCACTGTTTTTTCCAGCACTACAGGCAGCTTCCACTGCCGCTTCCACTCTGGTTCCCGGCTGGAGCCAAGAGGCACCAGGCAGACAGTGGCAATTGCAGGTGAGCACAGAGTTCCTGAGCGCTGTGACAGGTGCCTGCACAGTCCTGAGGGTCAGGAATAATTCCAGACAGGTACTCAGCAAAGCCCAGGCCTGGCTGAGCCTTCCCCCTGCCAGCACCTTCCCAGCCCCCCAGAAGCCCAGCCTGCTTGGGCCAGTTTGAGGAGAGGCTGCCAAGGTGAGTCCACAGCCTGGAATAGGGTTGGCACAGGCTGGTGCCAGGGGTCCCAGTCCAGAACCAGTACACATAATCCACCCTCTATAGACCCTTTGGAAATGCATCACTGGAAAGAGCCTGGCAGCTCCTGGCAGCTTCTGGGCAGGGAAAGGCTCCCAAACAACAGACACTGCACTCAGACGGGGGCAAGCAAAGGAAAACTGTAAGAAATCCAGCCTGACTGGTGTTCCTGTCCCACCGAGCCCAAAGCACTGGGGCAGAGGCTGCCCCGAGCCTCCTGTCACAGTGAGCTCACCTTGGAGCCCCAGCTCATGGAGCTGCAAAAACATAGGAAAATCTCAGCCCTGACGCAAAGATGAGTTTCTTCCCCTTCAGCTCACAAAGAATCCTTCAAAATAACACGTCCAAAAGGCTCAGAGCCCAAATGAGCCAAACAGAACATGTGCCTGCTTGTGCATTCTTTATAAAGCTCTGTATTTTAAACCCAGTCTCCTAAATTACACAGCTGTTACAGCCAAATGCACTTCTGTGTCAGAAATGCATCTTTTGACAAAGTGATGCTTATTTCCACCCTATTTTTAGATGATAAAAGCCCTCTCACCTCACAGCCAACCTGCCTTCTTGACCTTCTCTGCACAGCTCTGCTCTCGCTGCCACTTCAGCCCCCACCCCTGCCCCTGCTCCTTCTGCCCAGCTCTGAGGGGTGTCAGGGGTCTCCTCCTCTCCCGTTTACACTTTGTAGTCTTTTGGAAACTGATAAACAAATCCCTCAGCTCAAATGGACTGTCTGGAGCCCTTTGTGCCAGTGATTAAGTGTGGAGTGCGATCTGTGCATTTTAGAGCTGCTCTCCAGCTTGGGTTAAACAAAGGCCGTCAACACCGAAAAACCCGAGTGCAAACACAGCCCTGCCTTTCCTGTCCCATCTGTTTGTCAGGCGCCTTCCTCAATTTATCCCTGCTCTTCCTGGGGGCGAGCTCTCTGTCTGCCTGCTGGAGCTTCCCACTGTTTATCCATCCCTCTGGCTCCTCTGTCCTTACACAGCACCTATCACCACAGCATCCAAGAACAGTACAAAATCCAGAAGTTTTTCCTCCACGGCAACACTATTACAAAAACTGGCAGTATTTTAACTTGCCTGAGAAAGCCTGACCCAGCCCCTGCACGCCCCAGGTTCTTACAAGGCTCCCTCAGCCGTGACCATCATCATCTTCCTCATGGAAGTGGCAGAAGTCCCCATGCCAACCTCACCATTCCAAAGCCAAGACCTAAAGATCCACACTGGAGAAATCCAAGTGCATTTTCCATTTCTCTTCCTAGTTTACTCCCCAAGCCTTAGCTCACATTCTCCAAGCCTTTCCCTCAGCAACCATTAACATAAGAATGTCTCTTCCTTCCTTAAATAATGAGGGAGATTGCCAAGGAACTGCTAAGTTCAGAGAGCTGAGGCTTAGGGAAAACATCATGGGATCCACAGTAAACCACAACAGCTGGCCAGGCTGCGGGAGCAGCGGCACTCCCACAGAAACAGTGCCTTAGAAACGCTCGGGTGCTCACATATCCGCTCTCCCAGGGCAGGCACCGGGGTGGCAGCTCCCTCCGCAGCCTCCGACGGGCACTCCTCCAGCGGGCAGCGCTGATCATCCATCCGGTTGCTCTGGAACTTGCTCAACAGGTCAAAGAAGCATTCCTCATCCGAAGGGGTCCGGTTGATTTTCTGGAAAGAGAGCGGACAGAGTCAGAACACCCCGAACAGCTCCAATCGCTCCGTCTGGTGCGGATTGGGAATGGTCGTGGCCTCTCCTGGTCTATTCAAAGGCTGGGTCCTGGTTGTGCCCTTGGCTTGCCAAGCCCCCCAGCTGGGAGCCTTTTAGGGTCACTGCTCCTTGGTCCCCCTGATTCCAGAGGCTCCAGGCACTTCCACAGCCCAAAGCAGAGCCCGGCTCCCACCAGCACGCGGACGAGCCTCACGCTGAGCAGTCGCTGTCACTGCAGTGCCTCGAGTACCCAGAGCAAACTGGAGGCTGAAGGGGAAAAAGGGGACAAAAGGGGACAGCATTCCCCAGGCACTGCTCCGTGGGGAGCTCCTGGGCTGGAAAGGGCAGGGCTCAGAGAGGGATGAAGGGGAACTGTGCAGCCACCTTGGCTGAAGTGCTGCTGAGTGCCCAGCTGGGGCTCAGCCCGAGCTCAGGGTCTGCTCTTCCACCAGCTAAATCCAACCCTTCCACACTGCCCCTCGCACCCCAACGCTTCCCTTCGGTGCCCCCATGTCCTCAGCACAGCACTTGTAACAGTCACCCGGCTGAAAATGCCACTAAATTACAGTTTTTCAGGACAGCAGCGCTTACACAAGAGCCCCAAATGAGCACCTTGCACTGGGCAGGGATATATTTAAGTCGTGCTGCAGGAGGGCTTGTGTTGGAGGCCACCAGTCCAACAGCCAGTTCCAGCACGGAGAGGGGCTGTGTGCCCTGAGAGCAAGACCAGAGCAGCAGGAACAACAGACTTTTCCAAGGAGTCCCTTGGAATGGGAGATAAAATTAACCAGCGATAAGAGGGGCATCTACCAGGCTCGGGGACGGTCCCTGAGTGCCGAGCTGGTCCCACCAGTTGCTGGAAAAAATACCACAACAGAAACCAACCAAAACCTCCTACAACTGGGTCTGTCTGTGCTATTTTCCAGCACAGAGTCTGGGCAGGAGCACTGGATCCCTCCTGGGGGGCAGCGCATCGTGCCAGAGAGATGGCGAGGGCACAGGGAGAGCCAGCCCCGAGTGCCAGACTTTCCAGTGGAGAAGGGATCCCCTTGGCTGCTGATGAAGCAAAGTCCCTCTCCCAGCTCTGCTTGTGGCCACTCTGGGCAGCCTGGGAGCCTTCCCAATCCCACCACATGAAGTGCCATTCCCAGCAGAGCTCTTCCCTGGGGCAGGGGCAGGCAAAGCCCTTCATGGGAGCTCTGCAACGGGGAGAGACTTGTGCTGACAGGGTTAAAGCCACAAGTTGGATTCGGTAAATGAAGGAAAACAATTTTCCTGTATGCCAAGCGAAGCAGATGAGATGCTCTCAGCTTCTATTTAGGGCAGCGTCAAAATTAGCAGCGGGCCAGAGAGGAACATTAGCAATGTGGGAGCTGATTGGGGAGGGGAAAAACCCCTCTCACCTCCCTCCATGTGCCGATCTGTTCATGGATCCATCCTCTGAACCACCAACAGTTGCACCTTGGAAATCAAAGCTTGAACTGAGGGTGAACTACATCTCTCACAGCTCTGCTGTGTTGGGCTGTGTGACCCAAATTTCAGGCTAGAGGAGGAAGCGGCTCATTCACACCGAGCCTCCCTCCAGCTTCCCCACAACCACACCGAGTAAATCAGAGCAGTCCTGGATCCACAGGACAAGTTCCCCCTTGCAGGAGCAGCCTGACAGTGTGTGGCCAGAGCCCCCAGCTCAGGGCTTCCCCCCACAGAGACCAGATTGCCCTGGGGCATGTCCTGCCAGAGACCCTGAGATTTGGGGTGTTGGGATCCCTGCTCACAATGTGGCTGGGAGAGGAAAGGATGCTCTGAATCAGCAGGAAGAACAGCCAGTGCATGGAAGTGTGGGA